AGTCATATATCTAACATCTTTCAGGGGAAAATGTTTGAATTGAAATAACGTGACTTCCCGTATAGACCAGAAATTTGTTTATAGTTAATCGGGGTCCCCTACCCCTAAGGTTTCCATGTCCGGTATTGACATTCATCTATCTAATATCGTTCTCGAGATTAAAGGAGGACACTGACGACAGTGGAAATTTATAGGTTACAATTTTTTTTTTTCAAATTGCACCCCAATAAGTTATTAAATATATACAACATGGCCTACTGTTTTATTAACATATTACGATTTAACGACCGAATAAACGAAGGTGTTAATAATTAAGGCATCAGTCTACTGTTTTGGAAGAGCCGGTATCTAATCCTAGTGAGCAATTTCCTAGGAATTTTCCATGGTCGGTCTGTTCCAGATATGTCGGGTTCCTTCCCTTATCAGTCAGAGTGACGGCCCCATTGTGAGCCTGAGCAAACTTACGATAGGCATGGGAAAAAATATCCTAGTGCCCACAGAGCTGAAAGAATTAAAGTACCCAAAACCTCGTGTTCGTGATCCTAGAAAATATAGTATATATACACTCCATTCCATTTTTTTAACTCTGCCCTGTGAGTACTAAAAGGACCTCTTATAGCAAGCCCATTATGTTTTGTTGTTTGTTAAGTTATGGCAACGCAACACTTGGGCGATCTGCCTAGGGGATGCCTTNGAATGGAATACTTAAAATTGAAAATAATAATTTGGTTTTGTAGGTGGGAGAAGGGGAGTGGTTATCCTTAGATGCTGAGTTAGTCATGGCAAATGGAGAAGTGGTTGGGACCAAAATACCTACTGGCCACAGCATTCTTATTGAAGCTCATTTTGAACTCCCATATGGTATGTTTACTATATTTTAACAGAAATTACATGTACATCAAGAAGTTCTGTTTAAAATATAAATAGTAAAATTATTATATATAGTTTTACTATTTAAAATTATATAAGCTATATATATATATGGCCTATATTATAATTAAAATACTTTAAAATTAAGAAAACAGATTAAAATATTTTAGAAAATTGATATTCTTTGTCTACTGTTTTAAAAAATGGTTTGGTGGTTGGAGTAAAAAATTTTGATAAATAAAAATGTGATTTTCTGTCAGTTTATGTAGTCTTCAGTAGTCTAATTAAATTTGAATAATAAAAGATTTAACACATACTAAATCAATGATTGTTTGTTTTTATTTTTAGAATTAACTTTCAATTAATTGGAGGAAATGTATATAATTGTGATTAATTATAGAAATGATTTTTAAAAATTATTTTTAAATTACTACAAGTAATATATGAAAAAAAAAATATGTTTAATTAAAATCATTTGGATCATTATTGTTAATTTTGTTTCATTATGATGATAGAAGTTTAATTCGTTCGAGACTGCATATTATTCAATACTAAATGACTTACTATGACACCTTGTGAACATGCAGCCCAAGTTTATTACTTCCAAACGTTTTTAGTCATGTTAAATGACCTTTCTAAGAAAAAGAAAACTTCTTTTTTAACCTCTTGTTTTTTATTTTGTTTTTTCTTTTGGTGAGAAAGGTCATTTAACATGACCAAAAATGTTTGGAAGTAATAAACTTGGGCTGCACGTTCACAAGGTGTCATAGTAAGTCTTTTAGAAGTTTAATATTAAATCTGTAAAATAAAAAGAAATTAGTATCTTGAGATAATAATATTCAAAACTTAATATCTTAATAATAGTTCTGAATAGTAATTATGATATGAAGAAATAATTGTTATAATTATTATTCAGGAACTGTAACTATGTAAAATTAATTCTAAATATATACCAAATACAAATATTGTCTTTATCAATTGACAGTTGTTAGAATATTTATTTTGTAAGAAGCACAAATATTTCAGTTTTTGTTTGATTTAAAAGAAAACATGTTTCTAGAGTTTTTTTTTTTTTAATCTACTAGCTGTATGCCTTGCTTAATTTCTTTTATATTGTAACTTTGATTTATAAGCACATCTTGTTCCTGAAAATTTGTTGTAAGTTAATCTTATAAATTGGGACAAGTTTTTCCATTATTTCTTATGGTGGAAATTTGAACCTCATTCTTACATAACCCAATCTCCTTGCCCATATTTTGTAAAAAGATTAAAGTGCTACAAAACTTCACACAAGTAAAATAAAGTGAAATAAAATTTGTTTAATTAATGAAATTTTTTACTAATAAAAGTATCTTATATATATATATATATATATGATACTTTTATTTCAGCACAATATTTATTGAAAATACCAACTTCACATTTAAGATGCAAAAGGTATATATATGCATACATATAAATACATACAAAAGTTGTTTTATGTGTACAGTAATACAGTAATTGAAAATATATAAATTACATATATTTTTTTCATCTGTAACAACAGTCTAAAATTGTTTCTGGTATGTATGATAATTCAGTATGTAGTAAAAATAAAGCTATTTAAATCAAAAATTAAATTCATAAATTTTGTTTGTTAAACTTTCTTGAAGTTTTTATTTGTATAAAATGGATGGAATTCTAAGTTATTGTATGCTGTAGTTGACAAATGCAAAATTCCTTATTGTATTAAATTCTGATCAACTTTCTATAAGATTATAAAAATTTTGATACTCTATAGAATTTTTGAAAATTTTTACTTAAGATTATGAAGATATGTGCATCATGACAAACATTTTATGCCATTTTTGTATCTAGTACAATGAAGTTTTAATAAGTGTCCAATATGCTGGCAAACTTAATAAGCCAGCATCTCCTGCTCATCTTTGGGGAGGAGTATAATTGCACTGGGTATTCATCTGTATTTAGGTTGCCAGTTAATTAAAAACTAAAAATAAATATTTTTAAATTTAATTACTAAGTTAAATTGAACATTATGTTAAAATTTAAAAGTTTAAAACACCAGCCTATATACCAAAACAAATTAAATTTAAAATAAAACCAAAATTAATTAATTAAACTTGAAACATAATACTTCAGAAAATGTGGGTAAAGTAATTGCCAGTCTTGTTTGATTTGATTATATTTCATTCAGACAGTAAGAGTTGAGTCTCTATTTATGGCACTTTTGTTAGGTGTTAGTTTTGGTTCAGTTTTGGCATTGACAGAATATTTTGCTTTTAATATGTTAAATATATAGTCTATAGATAGGTAGGTACTGTACATAGATATAGATAAGTGTACAAAGTAAGTTTTACATGCAAAGATATGTAAAATTATATCTTGGTTGCTTGCTGTTCTTTTAACTATATGTATTTTCTTAGCATAAGGTTGACAGCATTATGCCAAGAAAATACATACGTAAAATTGTTTCCAGGAAATGGAAAAAATTTCATCATCCAATAAGTTGGTATATTCCATATATTATATATATATATATTCAGAATGTCACTGTATTTACTTTCATCTTTCGATACTTCAGTATGGTAATACAGTAAAATATTCTTTGAGAGGTTGTGTTATATGCACATAGAATTATTTCTATTTAGCTTTTAATGATGATGATAAACATATGCTACTTGAAGGCTTTACTACTATGAACTGACTGTATTTTTTGTAAACCTTTCTAGGCATTCCTGAGACCTAAGTTGTTTAGGTGCTGAATTCAGTCATTAATAGCTGAGGGTGTATGTGTGTGTATATAGGATCATATGTAAAAGGGGTCACAATTTTCCACTTATTTTCATGCGTAATTATACTGCATATAATTTCTATACCTCAAATTTGACAATTCTGGAAAATCCTATAACATGTCTTCTCTACATGTGCCAAATTTCAATATTATACATTGTTTAGTTTGAGATGTTTTGTTCATTTAACATTATCATTGGCTGAGCTGTCATAGGGATGACCTTCACAATTTGAGATAGCTTGAGCTAAAGTGAAAAAAGTTTAGTTGGAATTAAATGATGGGAGACCTGAGATGTTTCTCAGAAGGACCAGAAAATGATTTTTCTGTGGTTGTTTTGTGCACAAAATAACTCTATGAAAGTATTTAAATTGTTGAAGGTAATAATGTCCAGGCTATCTTACCAGAAGCAAGGGTTCAAGATTGCAGTAACTTGCAGACAGTACATGTCATTACATCACACTTAACTGATAACATCCATGTCATGACTACTCTTGCAGCAATCATTTTAAGACCTCTATGACATCAGGTCATCAAAAATCCTGTCAGAACAGGAAAATTGCCAACTTACATATATGTGATTGTGTGACAAATACAAAGTGTACACTGTCACATGCCTAAGGTGGCAATCTTGTTCAGCATTATGAAGGACTCTGATAAATGGGAAAAATTTTTTGACTGAAATTATTACACAGTTATATGAATAGCATGTAGCATGAGCATATCTATTCCTGTTCCACTCGCACTATAATAACCAAAACTTTCACTTTACAATGGGGCTTTGCATGAGAATATCATGGAAGCACAGCTGAGGAAGTCAGTTTGATGAAAAATGTTCACAAAAAACTAGTAGGTACAGAAAATTATCACTATTACATTTGATTGCAGGTTAATAATAGAATTTTAAGTAATTTCCAAACAAAATTAATGGAAAAAGTTGTAAAGTTAATATTTGTATGAAGTTGTTTTAAATGTTGCAATATTTATTATAATCAAACATCTTAATAGTTTAAATTTGAAATCCAAAAGTAACAAAATTTGAATTGTCAATAATTTGTTGCTAAATATGTCACGTTGTTTTTTCAATGACAGATTGTTAAGCATTTGTTACATATATACTGATATGAAATAAAATTTCTGTAAAGCTGACAATTCAGCTTCAACATTGGAGATTTTATTCTGAAAATTTATTACAGAATGCAAATACTGAAAATCCTTACATTTTTAGATATTTCTGTGATAGTTTTAATTTTAATTATTATTGATGATTTCTATGGCTAAAAAATATATTTTTGTGTGTGTTTATTTTTAAAACTGTTTTTAAAAGATTTATTTTCTTTAGTAGTCGGCGTTCCTCCCGAGTGACAAAGCTTCCAGCTCCAGGTTCTAGTGGGATAGCTGGAGGAACTAGCCGACAACCAGTTGCTACTAGAAGTGGGAGTGGAATGTCTGGAGTAGATACAGGTCAAGAAGGAACATCATCAACTTTCAGAGAAAATAATAGCTCCCATGATGGAAATTCTAGTAGTACTCAAAGTAAGTTGTTTTAAATTTTATTAATTTGAAATACCTTTGCTTTAAATTTACTAAAATGTAGTTTTATTAAAATCACATTTTTACTTACTTTTTTTTATAAATTTACAAATTTTATTTGTATCCGAAAGGAGAAAGTTGGTAATGTTTTTTTACAAGCTATATTCATTTATGTTAAAAATAATGGTAAAATTTCAAAAATTTAACTTCATTAATTTTTATAAAGTATTTATGCATCACATACGATGCATAAATATTTTAGCTTTATAAGCTAATAAAAACAAAATAGACTCTGTAAAATTTAATGGAGCCTATAATAAACTGACACATTGTTTTCAGTGTGAGTTTTCTGATATATGGCATTTATCTGTAATAAGAATAAAATTTTAGTTTTCAGTTAATCTTTTTAATTTAAATTGTTGAAAAAATTATAACAAAGGCTGAATTTTAGTTGGCATTATCAACATTGCATGAAGTTAGATTTAACTATCTACTTTCTTAGTAATATGCATAGATACACATTACATTACATTATTGGAAAAAATTGTATTAATAAAATTTTTGAATTTTAAAATTAAATACTTAAGTATTATAGCTGTTTAATTAAGTATGAAATTCATAAGACTTTGAAGTAAACAAATAATTGATTTCTTTATTAAATACTTTCATTTGTAGTTAAAAAAAAACTATTAATACTCTTATTAAACTAATTGTCATTTTCCTCAATGATGTTTTCATGTATATTAGCTTAAAGTAATATATAAAATAATTTAATTGCTTAAATCTCTCTCTCTCTGATCATTAGATTCTTAAGATTAACACTACAAATTTAAGATTATATACTACAAACTTTTCAATTTTCAGCAAAACTGTTCAATCAAACAAATATTTTCATCTTGCTTGATAGACCATCTTCAGGTTATATAATTTTAAAGCAGATTATTATTGTTAACATGTGTTTGAAAATACACTGCTGGCCATTAAAATTGCAACACCAAGAAGGAAAGCAAATAAAAAAAAAAAGATATTTATTGTATGTAAACCGTATGGATGAAGACAATGATTAAATTTGCAAGCACTTTGGGAGTTTACAGGGGTGCGAAATTAGTAGACAGTTGCCACCCCTGGAAGCTAAAACGGCCCTTATCTGGTTAGGCATGGAGTCAAACTGGGCTCGGATGACAGAAATGGGCAACTTATTCCATGCTGCTCCAAGTCTATGCCACACTTTATCAACCATATTAGCTGGAGAGGGGTGGTGGGCCAATCTCTCAGCAACCCATGACCAAATGTTTTCAATTGGTGAGAGATCTGGAGACCATGCAGGCCAGGGCAACAATTGAATACCCTCTGTATCGAGGAAGGTCAGAACACGACGTGCAACATGAGGTCTTGCATTATATTGTTGGAAGATGGCACTTCGCAGGCCTCGAAGATAGGGCACAACCACTGGATGTAAGATGTCAGAAATGTACCGATCTGCGTTCAAATTACTGTCAATCCAAACTAGAGATGTGCATGTTGTGTATCCAATGGCTGCCCATATCATCATACCAGATGCAGGACCCCTATGCCGATATCGAATGCAAGCAGGTGACGAGCAGTCTCCTTGGAGCCTCCAGACACGTATACAGCCATCAGAATGCTGCATGCAGAACCAAGACTCATCTGAAAAGATGACATTGTGCCACTCCTGTATCCAGCTTTGTCATTTGGTGCACCAGAGTCGCTGTCTCTCTCTATGCTGCATTGTCAAGGGAAGCCAAAGTAATGGTTGCCGTGCTGACAGTTCATGCTGCTGCAAACGTTGTTGCACCATACAAGTGGATACTGGAAGTGCTGCAAACAAGCTCATTTCCTGACTAATGGTCTGTAATGTGGTTGTACGGTTTGCACAGCCAACCTCACAATATGTCTGTCCTCTCAGGCGTTAGTCATGGGAGGGCGTTGAGATCCTGCATTCCGTTCACTAAGGCCCTCAGCAACCCATCGATTCCATATTTGCATGACAGTGGTCGGATTCTGACGAGTGCGAGTGGCAGTATCACGGAACAATAATCCACACTCTCGATAGACAACAATCTTGCCTCTATTGAATTCCGACACTTGCTGATAAGCATTTCTTCTTCTTATTCGAGGCATAACACGATATTCTGATGAAACCCCGACCTTACAAAGCAATTTATGAATGAGAAATCCACCTCACAACTTTTTTTTTTACGCAATGCTTCAGATGTCCCTCCTGCATCATCTAAATGTGCTGAAATACTAATCATTTGCATATCCCAATCTCTTCTTCCTTTCATATGATTTTGATGTTCATACGATCATCCCTTCCTGGTGTTGCAATTTTAATGGCCAGCAGTGTAGAACAAATATGGTTGGAACATGCAGGATTTAAAAATTTTAGATTTAAACATCATTTTGTGTACTGTACATTGTGACGGGAAAGAATAAATACAAATTTGAAATCCCAAATAGAAAATGTACACTTAAAATATTTTAAAATAATAATCCACTCAAGTCACAAGCTGAAGAAATAAATACAGATATAACTGTACAGAAAAGTAAACAATAAAGATGGACATAAAAATAGTATTATTTAACAAGAGGGAGCCCCATATTTTATTAAATATTATCTTAAATTAATGTTGTTTAAATCTAAAATTTTTGAATGCATCTCTATCTCTATTTGTTTCATTTTTGAAAATACTGTATATTAACAAAAATCTTCTGCTTTACCTGAAGATGACCTATTAAATAGATTGAAAACATTTTGTTGAATTAAATTGTTTTTGCTGAGAATTGAATTGTGTTAAATGTATGATCTTAGTAGCTTGTCATTTGGACTCTGGACAGTTTGTCATTTTCTAATTTATTTATTGAATATTTGTTTTCAAATTTTTGTATATTTTTTTTTTATATCTAAAATCTACAATATAAATCTTGGATATATTTTTAATAAAAGTTACTTCAAAGCTTAACAACTTTAAAGGAAAAAAACAATCTTAATAATTTATATTATCAAGCACTACATGACAAAATATTACTCTTATATTTATATGTCTCTAGATCATAAGTTTTTTTAAAATTAGTGCATATTTTTAAAAACATTATCATTCTAGTTTTTTTTATTTTTAGAATTTTATAAGTTTTATCAAAGACTTATCTAAACCTTGATACCATATTTAAATGTCTTAAATAATTGCTAAGTTCAGGAAACCAAAATTTTGTTTAGAAATATTGTTGGACTATTTTAGTCTAGAATCAGCACACAAAAATAAACCTAGAAACAATATATAAAATAGAATAATTTATATTTAAGATACAAATTATTCCAATTATTAAATGTACTTTTAAAAGCATTATAAAAATCAATTACTTTTGTTTCTGGCCTTCTCTATCAGCTGTGGGCTCTACAGTTGATGTTTTTCATAATTACTTTGTTATCTTCTTTGCTGTTCCTCTGCACATTTTCATATAATTCTTATCAGTCTTGTTTTTGAAGACAATCAGTACCTCTGAATAAATGGCAGTTCTTGATGTTTTTTTAATTTGTGATACATGATCTAGCACTTGTAATCTAGTCTTATCTAATATATATATATATATATATACCACACTTATTACCATAAAAATTAGCACACCAAGGAGTTGTCAGAATCAAACGAAATTTTATATGTATGAGTGTAATGGTGATATAAGTAAGTGATTACTTATGAAAGCAAAATACAAAATGAAAGCAAAAATATCATTTATTGCAGGAAAAACTACAAATGAAAGACTGTTTTAGCACCCTATTGGGTCACCTCTAGCATGAATACATGATGTGATATGGCAGGCATGGAGGAATACAGTTACTGCAGGACACCATACATCATTTCAGTCCACAGTTGCTGAAAGTTTGGCCAAACTCCTAGGCTGTCCAACTTGGCATCTCAGGTGATCCCAGACATGTTTGATTGGTGACAAATCAAGATTGGGCAGGCCAAGTTAGTGTGGCAGAAGAAGTCCCTTGCTGTGTGTGGTCAAGTATTATTCTGTTGGAGAATGGTTCATGTTAGCCCTGCCATGATAGGCAACACGTGTGGCTGCAGGATATCACTAACATACCATTGGGCTGTCATGGTCCTTCGAAGTACTGCTAGAGGTGACTGGCTGTTGTATGTGATGGCAGTGTGCTGCTCCAAAGCATAAGCAGGATTGACGAATGTATCATGGGGCCTCAGACATGTTGTCATCAGTGCCCAAAGTGAATCTGGATTTGTCACTGTAGATGATCCAGTTTCATTATATTTTGTTCCAATCCTGCCAAGAGCAACACCACTCCAAACAGAGGCAATGGTGGGTGGTGTCCATGGCAGCACATGTAATAGCTGCTGCAATATCAATTGTTTCTCATCCAGGTGTCTCAAAATGGTAGACAACCACAGGGACCTGTATCCAGATGATGGAAAACAATACTGTGTACATGCTTGTCAGAGGACCAGCAGTTTTCTCAGGCTAGTGGTCTGCTGAGGGTATCCTGAGACTGGGCATTGTGTGTGCAAGCTATTCTTTGTCCACTGGTCCTAACACCATTTCATGGTGTTGTCAGAATGGCCTAGGTGGAGGGCTATTTGGCAAGATGATCCTTCCCTCCTCACTCAATTGTTTGTATGTGTCTTTGTGTCACAATTGAAGACCACAGAATCTAGTGATACAGCATACCTCTGCAGCAAGTAAACTACAGACAAGGATGCCTTTGAAGGGGTTTTTTAAGATCAAGGGGATGCTCTTTAATGCCCTCTGCTGGCATTATTCAATGAGTCATAATTCTATTTGGTTGTTTGGAAAGTAATCTCATTTATTTTTTCATGGGAGAGAAACAATTTTCTTATAATATATAAATATTGTATTGAATTATATAATGACCATTTTAGTCCAATACCTGTTGCAATCTTTCTGGTGGTAGCATGTTTCTACATTCATAAGTTTTGATCTTTGCTTACAAAAAAATTAAGTGATTTTTGACATTCTTGTTTGAAGTAAATTTTTTTTATTTAAAAATTTTGTAAGGTCCGGAACAAGTAATATCAGAGGGTGCCAGATCTGGCGAGTATGGTGGGTGTGATAGCACATCGCATCCAAGCTGTAACAGTTTCTGACAAGTTACTAAACTTGTGAGGTCTTGCATTATTATGATAAAACACTACATCTTTTCTGTTGATCAATTCTGGTCTTTCCTGTTTGATGATATCACTCAATTTGGCCAGTTGACAGTAGTACATTTTTTAATCAATTGTGTCTGATAGAAGCTTAAAAAAAATTTCCTTAAAATCCCATCAAACAGAGAGCATTACTTTTTTTTTTTTAATGAATATTGGTCTTCAAAGTGCTTTGAGCTGGCTCATCTCTTCTACTCCATGATCACTTGACATTGTTATAAACAATCCATTTTTCATTGCCAGTTATGATTCATTTCAAAAATGGATCATTTTCTTGATGTTTGAGAAGGAAATCACAGACATCAATATGACAGAGCAAATCTCATTTTTTTTAAGAACATGTGGAACCCATATATCAAGCTTTGAAACAAAACCAAGTAGTTTTAAGTGATCATAAACAGTTGAATTTGACAAATTTAATCTCTTAGCTATTTCTCATGATGATGATTAGCAGTTTGCTTCAATCAATACCTTCATTTTGTCTTCATTAGCTTCAACTGTCTTTCCATTTTTCCAGAACATGGTGCATCTTCAATATCAAAATTGCTGAAATGAAATTTTGTGAATCAGTTTTGGCATTGTCATTCTGTCAACATGTTTCTTCTATACACATCACACAATATTTTTTTTTTTTTTTGCTTGAACAGTATTTTTACGTTTATGGTAATAAAAAAGCAAAATGTGCTGAAAATGCTGCTTTTGATTTTCTATATTTGATGGGACACCAAAAAAAAGCCAATTGCAAAAATCAAACGATTTTTTGCATATAAGCTTTGAAATATCAACTATCAAAATATACAATGACAGTATGATTTAGAATGAAATTGTCAGGTAAAAATTCAACTAATCCCTCTGGTGGTAAAAAACAAAATTACTTTCTGAACCCAATATAACTAATAAATTCATATTTGTTTGAGACTTACCTGCATGCCAAGTTTTACAGTGATACAACAACTCTTTCTTGGTGTGCTTGTTTTTATGGCAATATGTGAAATAAAACAATGAGTGTGTATATACGTTCCTCTTAGACACCACATTGGTAAAATGCAAATACTTTGGTGAACAACTTTGGTAAACATCTCCAGCTTTTATTTATGCCATTCCTTGATTGGCTTGCTTAATACTCTGACTTCATTCAACATTGTAGATATGATTATTTTATAGATGTAGTCGTTGTCTTTGTGGTTCATATCAATTACACAGTACACCTCTTCAACAATTTGTGTACATCTACTTGCCATTTAGTCATCAATTTGCCAATTCACTTGGACTAGTGATAGAAAATATTTTAAATGTATTAATTTGTGTTAGCTGTTGCTCTTTGTTTAACTAAGACAACTTCAGTTTACATATTCTCCATATTTATTTCAATTTGGCTAATTTGTAAATAAAAATGAAAGTGCATGACTTGCCTTCTAGAATATAATTCTTTTAATTGTTTCACTTTGTTGGTGATTATTAATAGTTACTAATGATTACAATGGCCTCATTTATTATTTTAAATTTAGATAGGAGAATTTAGATTAAAGTAATTGAGTCTAAAAGAAACTATTTAGAATGAGATTTTGGATCAGACTTTTATCCAGTAAGTACTGAAATTAATACATAACTACACATTTTAAAAATGTTGTTTGCTTTTGATTCAACCACTTTGTCCCTTGTGGCATCTAAGATAAATTATGTATACTGTAATAAATAGTTTGCATTAAAATATAGTCACAGAAGCATTTACTGCTAATAAAAATTTTAAAAAATGAGAGCTAATGAAAGGGGACAATTTGTTTCCTTTAGGCATTCAAGTGTTAAGGGTTGAAATCCCACTTGGAAAGCAACACTATGCTCTATCTAAGTGGAAGCATTGTGTTTTTTTATTATTGAAAGTTTATTTTCTAAGATGTGAAAGTATGTCTGTTTTAGAAACTTGAATGGGAGATTAGATTATCTCAAGTTAAAATGGTTTATCTCAATACTTCAGGTTTTTTTTATTGAAGGCCTATTGCATGTAGGATGTAATGTTGAAATCTTTGACTTTGTAAAAACTGATTTCTGGTTTATGGCTTTTGTTAATACATCTAAATGTGAAGTCTATATAATCTCTATCTTGTTTGAATAATTTTACTATAGGGTTGGCAACTAAGTGATTCCGGATTTTAAATAAGAAGGAAAATTCAAAATTTTTGCTTAAAAATATAACTTTATTCAATTAGGTATTGTCCATTTTTGTTAATGACCTCTTTCAGGCAGTGTCATAATTCCATGTTCATAAAACTTCTGATTTTTGCCAGCAAAAAACTGAATTAAATGTGTTTTTACATCATCAGCGTCATTAAAAAATTTACCATTTAAGGAGTTCTGCATGGAACAAAATAAATGGTAATCTGAAGGTGCAAGGTCAGGGCTATATGGTGGATGTGACAACACATCCCAACCTAGCTCCAATAATTTTTTGCAAGTGACCAAAGATATGTGGGCTTTGCATTATCATGCTGGAAAACAACACCTTTACGATTTGCCAATTCTGGCTGTTTTTCTTGAACTTCATCGCTTAGTTTGGCAAGTTGTTGAACGTACACATTGAATTAATCGTTTGGTTTTTTGGTAAAAGTTCAAAGTACAGAATTCCTTTATAATCCCACCAAACTGACAGCATAATCTTTTTTTGGTAAATCTCAGCTTTTGGTGTTATCTAGGCTGGTTCATCTCGCGTCACCCACAATCTTTTCCAATTAATGTTGCTATAAACTATCTACTTTTCGTCGCCAGTAATCAGTCATTTCAGAAATGGATCAATCTCGTTGCGTTTCAGAAGTGAATCACAGATGCTAATGCGTTGCATTAAATGAATTTTCCTTAAGCTGATAAGGAACCCATAAATCCAGTTTCTTGACATAGCCAAGCTGTTTTAATTTTTTTTGAATGCATGTATGTGATACATTGAGCTTCTGTGCAATCTCACACATTGTGCTATGACGATCTGAATTGATAATGGCCTTGATATGGGTCTCATCAACTTCAACTGGACGACCAGATTGTTGAGCATTTTTCAGTGAAAAATCACCAGAACGAAATTTGGCAAACCAATTTTGACACTGCCTTTCTTTCAAGGCTTCATTCCCATATACGGCACATAACTTCTTGTGTGCTTGTGATGCGTTCTTGCCTTTTCGGAAATAATACAATAAAATATGTCTGAAATGCACGTCTTATTCTTTCATTTTTAAATTGGGATAAAAACGAAACTAAATAGCTAATTGATTCAATTTTTTTACTAAATTAAAGGTGGAAGTGCAAACAATAAGAAAACAATATAGGTTAAATGCTTTGAACATGATGACAAAGCAAAAAAATGTGCTAAGACCACCTATTGACAAAATCTGCAATCTCTTAGTTGCCAACCCTATATATATATTTTATCTTTGGTCTTTATCCTGTATGATATCTATCAGAACATAAACTAATTACAGTAGGTATATTTTAACTATGAAACTATAGCTTTTGTCTTTAATAAGTAGGTTTTAAAACTGAAATCATCTCCTTAACTAAGACTTCACAATGCTTGTTTAAACTTATATTTATAGTTGATTTAGAAGTTCCTCTGTGAATGAATTTATTGATTTTATTATGTAGTATTAACTCAGTCTGAAATAATAATTTTTTTACTCAATAACATTGCAAAAAATTATATTCAGTTTAAACTCAAACTTAGCAGTTTGTTTGGTTTGTTGCTATAATAAGAGTGCTATGATTTTTGGACTTTCATTTTGAATTTTAATGAGTAGTTTACTCATGTATATATTTATATACATATGCATTAGACACAGAACATTATTTAATATCAGAATTAACATTTTGAATATTTTAAGAAAATTTTTTTATTCATAGTTTTATATTTATATCTGTTAGTAAACAGTATATTTTTTAAAGATGAGCTTTTTCTTTTGTTTCTAAAGAAGTCAGTTATAAAAAAAAATTAATATAAACATAACACAAGTTTTATAACATGCAGTTATTTTTAAACATGAGTTTAGAATGATTTAGTTAGAAATTTGATGTTGGATATCATTTATTGATTTATAATTATTTAAGTGACAGCTAATTCAGTCTTTGCTTTTATTTATTGTCCATTTTTGGTGATCTTAATAGAATTTGTTTGAAATATAAATTAATTTAAGAATATTTGCCCTGTCTTACAATGTAGTAATAAAAAGTATAACAGAGACTTAAAACTTTTAAGTTGTTAACATTTTAAATTTAATAATTTCAATAATAAGATAAAGCTAAAAATAAATATTACAAATTTTATAGTAATATATATTTAAAATGTTTTAGAATGTTTTGATAACAAAATAAAGCATGTGTTTATTATAGTTGGTAGTAGTATGAATGCTTCTTCCAACATGGCAGCAATAGCAGACAGTGAATCTGATGATAATGAAATGGGAAGATTACAAGGTATTTGTCACTTCAATATTTTATATTTTTTTTTTGTATATTTTAAAATATTAAGTCATTGATTTAATATTACCATTTACAAGTAAGAATACAGGAAGGAAATATTAAATTTGGTATGAAATTAATTATGTAGGGTAGGCCAGGGGCTAAGGGGGTGATCCCTACTGACCACTTACTTAGCATGGGTTGTTTGAACCCGATCTCGGGGTTGTCAGATGGCTAAGGAGGAGGGCCCATTAAACGATCAAGTGGGGAGTGCGGTAGTTAAGTGGATAAGGTGTCTGGTTTCTGAGCAATAGACAGGTAGACAGGTTTAACGAAACAAATAAATGTTTAATATATTCTATATCTAAGATATACATAAGGATACAAACAAAAGGATCAAAATATGGTGATAAAGATATTAGATTGTACAACTGCAGTGCAACTATTCTATGTCTTATGTCTCTTGGGCGGGTCTAATTTCTTGAACACAGAGAGAGTTTACACATTTCTAACAAAATACCTCTAATCCTTATGAGGTCAATGTCTTCCATTTTAGTGTGGCGAGTCGTCGATGATAATGGCTTGGAAGAGATCTATTCTATGAGGTGTCTTGATGTGTCCATCAGTATCCATCAGATATGGCAGGTGTATCAAACACTTATATGCGAGGATGAGCACTACTTTATGGGGATGAACACCTTTCCTTAGGACAACAGCCCAGAACTGTCATCGTCTCGTTCTTTTATGCATTTAGCCTGGGAAAGTCAATCATGTGATCGGCAGTTGTTTGGTAACAAAGGTTGCTTTTGCAGGTGCGACGTTTGGCGATGACTTTCATTGATGTAATGGTGTGGCTTTCCTCTCCTGTCACAATTGGATGTTATCATTTTGCAATCAACTTTTAAGATTCTCATTCTTCTGTTGATAGTAAAGCTGTCATTCAATTCGTGTTTGGTGCGATGTTTTCTAACAATTACAATGGATGTTAAATAAAAAGTTTCTTAAAAATGGATTTTAATATCCTTAAAATACTGGATTTCACAGTTATAAGAATGTGATTTAATCATAAAATTTTTTAATTAACATAATTTTGTAGCAGAGTATAATGCACACCTACACAATTAGTAAGAAATTTAATTTTTCCAGTTTTCCTGAAAATAAATTTATAGACTCAAGACAATTTATAGTATTTCAAAGCTATTAGGTTTATTTTCAGGAACTACTCAATGAATTAAAGAAATGTATTTAAATTTTCTTAGACCATGCTGATTTAACAGATTTTATATATGCTTTTTATGTACCACTTGAATTTATTTATTATAGTTTCAGCATAGATTATATAATAATTAAAGCCTTAATAGTCCTTTAGTTATAATTAATAGGCCTAGATGTCCTAATCATAAAGACTAGGACATAAGACTAGTCATAAAAACACTCAGTTTTGTGTTTACATAGTAGATACATTCCTAAACATCTGATCAAAAACAATGTAAAAAAATTGTCTGTTTACAAAAATTGGAAGATTGGTTCCAGACGTTTTAAAGGTCTGGAATCAATAAAATAGGATAAACCAATTAACATAATAAAATGTGTTTTAAATGGAATATCTTAATTGCAGTTAGGTTACAACTGTCCTTTCTTTGATTTACTATTAGTAAAATATAATAAATTTATATTATTTATATAAATTTTATTTAAATGTTTTGATTAAACATTAAAATATTTTTAACTTTTAGTACCATATCACATAAGAAAACTATTCGGTATTGAAAAAAAAAAATTGGAAAAAATTCAATCATCAAACTTGAATTAAATTTTTTTTCTGACTGCCATAATCGTGGGATAAAGTTGGAATGTTAAAAGTGAATTGAATATTTTTTTGGACCATGTTAAATCAAAATGAAAAAAAATTATTGTAAAATTATTAACACGTTAACTGCCATCCGCATGCCAGCAGTTGTACTGGCAGTGGCCATACAGCACCATTCGACTGCCCGCTGTCACATAAACAATGAAGTTTCACTCAAGATTAAATTATCAAGGCTTTATAAGATGTCGTTCTGCATGCTAGTGGTGGCCTTTTGTGACATCTATGAAGTTGGTTTCAACGCTGGTGGTCGGATGGCCTGAGCGTCCCTTGGTTACGACTGTCGGCGCATCGTATGGCCTCATGAAGTGGTTCAATGGCCAGAAATCATAATTTTTTAAATAAAAATCTATTTTATATCTGATAGTGTTTTTTTTCAGTAAATAGTTTAAAATATCAAACTAGTTTAATTATTATTTTTTATCACATGTAAAGTAAATAATATTACAAAAAAAAATCAAAGTATATGAGTGCAAAATAATATATATTTACAGAAAAAAAACATGTGCTGTCCAAACAAATTGTAAAATTCTTATATACTTTTAACACACAGATGTGAAAAGTTTTAAGTTGGGGAGCAGGTCTAATTACAGTGGGTTGTAAATAGCCTGGGGGAAATAGTCTTCTGTTCAAGACCATACAACTGCAGGTGGTCGTTCATATATCTTTCTTATCTTTGCTCTGCTGACTGTTATATAACGACCCTTTTATTTACATTATAATAAAATATTAGATATCAAATTTTCTCATTTTGGCATGTCATTACACAAAATATCATATTACAGGTGGCAGTTATTGTGTTAAGGATCATTTAATATTAAATTAGCTTTAATATAGCTTGATAAATAATTCAGAAAATTGGCAATTCAGTAAATAAATTTATTTTCCCAAAAATCCTAAATATCTAACACTTTTTTAACTGCATCATAATTTGTTTTATTTAAATGCCGAATTCAGTCTCTTTTGAAAATACAGAATTATATTTTTTTAAAATTCACATAGCATTAATCTTAGGAAGAGAATGGAATAGTATTTCAGAAATTGTTCCTCCTAATTTATACATTTTATTTTATATATATATATATTTTTTTAAATTCTCAAATGGCACATCATAGCACACTTGTTTGCTGCAAGAGATGGCTAAGCATGTCACAAATATTATGAGAATAACATATGCTTTTCATTTTGTACACAAAGTATGCCAGAAAAACTTTACATTTTTTTTTCAGTGTTTATTAACCAAAAAATGTGTTAGAACTACTGTTTTTACATTATAAATAAATGGGGTAGACTAACAGAACACTTTATTTAGGAATTAAATTTATTAACTGTCTTAGTTATTGAAAATAAAATTAAACTGATTTAATTGTATTTAAGTTAATCTGTAAATGTTCCCTGTATATTTCTACTGTCATGTAAGGGAATAAATAAAATAAAATCTCAATAAAAATTAAGTTTTTATAAAGCATTATCCATATATCAGGAACTTTGGGAGTGGGAGAGTTGCTGAATTTTAATAAAGATATCTATAACAACTCCCAAATGAACAAGGTTCTGTGATCTAAACATCCCTTGGGAATGGGCCCATAGTGGTGTAAAATTATTTTTTAATATGTTTCTCTCAAGATTGGTGGGGGTGTGTGTTGCTTCTGTGTAGGATCATATGGTAGGTGTTTACGAAACTGTGTTTCTCTAATTATATAAAGCATTTAAAATCATATTTCTTAAAGGAGACAATTTTAATGCTGTATGTAATTAGAAATAACTGTTTTGATCATTCTGTAATATTCATATTTAGTTTTGTTGTTTTCTTAAATTAATTAACATTACATTCTCAAACTTTATGTAAGAACTTAAAATGAAAATATATGTTTTAATAAATGAGTTCTAATTTTCAGGGGGAAAAATTTTTTTCTATGTTTGAATTACTACTTTAAGCTAATGATTTTATCCATATATAATAATATTTTTTGCACAAATAAAATATATCATAGTTGTTCAGAAAAATGTTCTTTCAAATAAATTAATGGTTATCATAATTTTGTAGAATATATACTATGCAATAAAGTATAAATTAGTTAAATATGGTTATTTTTTGGTTTGTTGTAAACATTTTCAGATGATTTAATTTGTATAAATTAATTTAGCTCAGTTCTTAAACACCTATTCTAATATTTGTTAAAATGATACGTTAATAGTAACTGTCTCTGGTTCAAATTTCATAAAATTTATAACTTTATAACACCTTGCAAAAAAATTAAATGCTGTTCAGTTGTGTATTTTATCTCAATGTTTAAATTTTCATAATAAATAACATAAATTCAAACATCAGATTGCTACAAACTTCAGAAAAGAACGAAAACTTTAAATACAAGCAATTTTATAAATGCATATTTATTTAAAATAATAAACTTATTTATTAATATATATTATTTAAAATTCAACGTGTGCATCTACTTTCAATTCATGGAAGTGTTCTACAATATATCATATATATATATATATATGACCATGTTGATTTAATAAAAATTAATTTGTTAAGATGTCTGCATTTTTGATTTACTTTTGGAAAGAATCAGACAGATAATGTACATTTTTGTTAAATAAACTTTCTACAGCTAGGGAGATATTCACTTAATAAAATTTATTACTCTTATGTTTTCTGAATTCAAGTCAATTTAATTAATAACAAATATTTTATTTGGTATTTACATATCAGCAGAAAAATAAGTAACAAGCTGACTAAAATATTTTAAAAATTTAACATATATAAACTTGTATTGGTCAAACTTTCAATTTTTGAAAACTCAAAAAGCTTGAGTTTTGTTCAAATGATTTAACATTGTTTTGAAACCTTTAACCTGACATGACAGCTCCAAGTTATTACAATATAAGTTTTTTTGGAAAATTTATAACCACATCCTGCTATTCAACTGTAAAAAAGTGACCAGCTGAACTGCTTTTTTTTTCAACTCTTATAACCTTAAAACAATCTATAATAATTTGACTAGTATGACATGGCTGCCTTGTTGTAATTAGAAAAACAATGCAAATATCTCCTGTTCTAATATATACTTACTAATAGACAGTTCTGTGAAGCTGAAAAGCAATTGTTATACTTTAAAATATTAAAAAAATTTAGTCTGACACACAAAATGTCACTTGAGTTTTATGATATTAATGCAGAAGTGTCATTTACATAAGCTGAAGTTCTTAAAAGTACAATAAATTAAATATGATTGTTTAAAAATTTATTATATTTTTTTTGCAAAATATCAAAGATTTAATCTAATTTTTATATAATTAGATGGATAATCATTTTTGATTTTAATTCTGAAAAATCATTGCCTTGTTGATTACATTTATTAAATTTTTTATTGAGCATATGTAGAAAAGAATTTTTTTTTATATTTTTCTAACAGAACATTTATTAAATGAAATTTGAATGTCAACAGAACAATAATTTTGATTTTATAATTAGTAGCAATTATGAGCTTATTAATCATTGATCATAACAGTGAAAAACTCCAATAATTCTTAGTTTCACATGTATTTGAAATCTCTTGAATATCTGTAATGCTGGATTAATAATTTTATTAGCTTTTTAATATTTATTTATTTTATAATTTTAGCATTACTGGAAGCAAGAGGTCTTCCGCCACATTTGTTTGGAGCTTTGGGTCCAAGAGTGCAACATCTGTTACATAGATCTATTGGAAATAGTGCAAGTAAGTTAATGTATTTCATAGCCTTTTAAAAAATTGATTTAGTTAATTTATACACTTCAAAATGCATAATGAAAATTCTATTTACAAATAATAGGAATGCATTGATTATAAGTTTATAAAATCTCTTCAATAATTGACTTATTTTTTTTATAATATGATGCAATAAATAATGCTAGTGCATTTTCGATGCTGAAGGATATTTACTATTTTAAAAAATACAGTTGATAAACTTCATGCTGTTGACAAAATCAGAGTATATCAGTTTTCTATATCACTAGGATAAAATATTATAAACAATGCTATTGATCCTTTAATAATAAGTTATAAACTGTGTTTAAATTTGTAAATGCAAAATTTGGAAAAATAAGTATTGTTGAATTTGTCTATTTCTCACTATTTCACTTTTGTCATTGTTCTTGTTTTCATATTAGATCTCATATTTACATAAATAAATTTTTATTTGTATATTAAAATAGTATAACTAATGATGATTTAATGATATGTTTTGCCTCTAATAAATTTTTTTATAATGGTGTTTTATGCATAATTTTTTGTGTGCCCAAGAATTTCAATGTATGTCTGTAAATCAACTTTTTATAGTTTTTTCTATAAATATATATTTTAAAAAATCTTATCTGATTTTTATAAAAGTTTAAATTACAAATTTCTGTTAAAACTTGGAAACAAGCCAACTATCTTGTAAAGATCAAATTGTTACTGAATTTCATTAATAATCACAGATAATTATTCATTATTTATCTCATGTCAAAGGATGTTTTCATTTTAAAATTGATTTAAATGAATTTAAAAATTAAAAATTGTTTTAAGAATTATTAATTTTTTTCCCCTCCTTCAGTTATCAAGTATCTTTGAAGGCAGTCAAATCATATTAAATTAGTTACAGTAAAATCTAGAGTAACTCTTTAAACATGATTAGCCAAAATCACATTAATCTATTTGAGACAAAATTAGTCAAAGGAAAAGTTATTTGACTGGTTTTGATATGCAAATTACCCTTGTACTCTGAGGGGTACAACAGTTGTCTTCCAGGTACATAGAAAGAAATTTTCAGAGCTTAGAGTTAATATTAACATCTGATAAAATTTAATTTTTTCTGTTTAAACTGTAGATCTCAGGTGTCTTGAAATGCACAAATTGTCATGTGGAAATATTAATAATTTTAAATTTACCTTTTATTATAAAATAATAAAATATTAAGGTTCTGTTTCACATCAATTTATTTATTACAGTCAAGTTACTTTAATATGAATCAGTAGTTAGTTTGCTTTATCAAACATTCATATTAATGAATTTCAGGGTCAAGATTGTATAATTTAGGAAGCAAAGATTTAATAGAGAATCAAAATCTCTGTCTTGAATTAATTTGCTAAATAAAGTTCATATATGATGTCATGGGAGGATAGGAAATTATATTTAATATTTCAAAGGTGGTTATTAAAAGCCATGAATGCACTTCACTTTCATCTTCAAATGAAGATATGAAGTTCCAACTTGAGTACTCCTGAAACATTAAAAAAAAATAGTAAATTAACAAAATAAAAATATTCCAGTGCTTTCAAGCTCTTTTGTTTATCTTCTCAAACTCAAAAAAAAAAGTGAACATATTTTTTTTCCACTTGGTTTCTCAATAAGCACCAGAACTGAAAATAAAAATCACTAGAACATTATTTTGTTACATTTTTCTTTTCCTCTATTTACTGTTTCCATATTTTATTTAAAACACTCTTTACCCTTGCTTCACTACATTATCAAAGACAAAAGACCATAACTTTTTTTACTATATCCCTAATCATTCAAGAATTAGTAAAAATGAACCAGATAAATTAGTTAAACTAATCTAAATCTATGCATTTAGTCAGTCCTATAGTAATTTTAACTGTTTAAGTACAATAGTGTACTTTAGACAAGTAACAAAGTATGCTGTATCAAACAAACCACAAAAGTTTTTTAAAAATATATTTAGTTAAGTATTGTAAACAGAGTTTACATTGGTTACATTTTTGCTGTTAGGAGAGAACTGTTGGATCTGTCACATCCACTCACTGACTATGGTATTAATCTATTCCTGACATAATACTACTGGATCATGCCATCTGTAAGAATTTCTGAATGATAGCCAATTCTTGAGGATATTACAGCAGAATTTAAGTCATATTTTCTTTCATTCACAGTATTAATTATATTTCATATTAGAATAGTATTTATTGAAGATGGGTTGTTCTTAAATTCATGATTAGTTTACTGCACAATTAACTTGTTGTAGTACTTACTTTAGTAATTACTTTGTTTTAGTATCTGTTTGTTTAGCTTACAATGTGCTTCTATTAAAATTTAACCATGATGGTGGTTAAATTTTCAATCAACCAAGATCTAAATTTCAGAAGTATATCACACTAAGTATAAAAGAATCAAATATAATTTATTAAAATATGAAAAAAATTGTTCTCACAAGATTCAGAAAAGCAAGTTAACCATGCATACTGAGTATTATTTTAAATATTTTTTTTCACATTAGAAATTTAATCTCAAAACCCTCTCTTCCTTTTTCAACCTTCCTTATTAAATCTTACTAATAAAATTTATTAATGTATAACTAATATTAATTATTCATATTACATTCATTTTCTTGAAAGATAAACACTGTAACATTTGAAGATAGGAAACAATGCATTGTTTTTAAGGAAACCTAAAGTTGTTATTAATAGCAGCATTAGAGAGCATTTTCTAGTGAAATTATGTTGTACAATAATTTTGATGTAAGAAATTACTATGAAAATGTTAACATGGTAACATTTTTGAATAATTGGATAAAATGCAAAATTGCTTGCTTCTAATTAATGTTTTTTCCATATTTGAATATTTATATTTGTATAAATTAATATTTAAGAAATGCTATGATCCAAAATTGAAATAAGAAATATCAAATTAAATTATCAATCAACACTATGCATAATTTTTTCCCTAAAATCATTGAATGAGTATTGAAATATTCTAACTACTATGGAAATTTATTTTACAGGTAGCAGAGCTCATCAGTTGCTTCAAGGTTTGCAAGCATTAGGGGATGAAGGACAACAATTACAAGCAGTAATGGAAATGTGCCAGTTATTAGTTATGGGCAATGAAGATACTTTAGCTGGTTTTCCTGTGAAACAAGTTGTTCCTGTTTTGATAAATCTCTTGTCAATGGAACATAATTTTGATATGGTAAAATCTTAAAGCTTTTTCAAGAAATTTTTGTAATTTACACTAAATATTTATTAAATTTAATTAGATGAATCATGCATGTCGTGCTTTAACATACATGATGGAAGCTTTACCAAGATCTTCAGCAGTTGTTGTTGAAGCAATACCAGTCTTCCTTGAAAAGGTAATACATTTTTATTTTTAATATAATAAGTTGTTAAGGTAGGGCAAATTAATGAAAATTTTATTTTATGAAATATTTTTAATTATTGCTTTTTTTATCTTTTATTACAATAGTGAAAAAATTTTAATAAAAGCTTCCTTTAAATGTAATTTTTAAATTCAGTTTATTTTAACAAATGATGAATCATCATATTTTTATCAATATTTTAAATAATTTTTTAAAGTAAATTTTAATGTTTTTGTTTGTATATATTTCAAAACTATAATATCAGAATATTCAAAATTAGAAATAGTAGTATCAAAAGTTATTATATTTCTAATTAAATATAATATACTAATGATTTTTATAGCTAAATTAAAAATTTGTTATTAATATCTAAAAATCTTACAAAATATTTTTATAATTTTTTGAGTTGTTTTTTTATATAAATTTTTAGCTTCAAGTTATTCAATGTATGGATGTCGCTGAACAATCACTTACAGCTTTGGAGATGTTATCAAGAAGACATAGCAAAGCCATTTTACATGCCGTAAGAACTATTAAGATTTAAAATTAACAGTAACATTAATTCAAAATTTTATATTTTATGATAAATTGAAATAGTTTTTGTTGTCTTTGTTGAATCCCATTGTTACTTTTGTTTTTTTTTTTTTACTTTAATATTGACTGCTCTGTTGCAAATGCTCCATCCCAAGCTAAATATATAGGTATATTAACACAAATTAATATAACAATAATATACCTTTATTTATAAATGTTAAAAATAAATAGTAATCATCATTATAAACAACAAAGAGTTGAGTTTATCCTCATTTTGGCTATTTTTTGAATAGACATTTGTCTCAAGTAACAATGTATGAAAATAAAATAACTGTAATAATAGTAATTGTGAATATTGATAAGTATTATTTACCATTTATTTGTTTTTCTTATATTATTAAGGAGTCCAGTTATAGAATTATGAAATTTTAAAATATGAGTTAATTATTTTTTAAATTAATTTTTTTCATATTTAACTTATATGCAAGATGGGGAAAAATTTACTCTTTCAGAAACTAGTTAAGAAAAAGCTCATCTAGTTAATATTAAAAAGTTAATCTAGAAATTCCATTTGTTTTTTTGTTTGTAGAAAATATATGAATAGCTTCTAGTATTGGAGAGAAAAAGCATTTGATAATTGTATAAAATGTGTGTATTGTTAAAACAAAAACTATAACAACATAGGTCTGCAAGTAAAAAACTGTGTAGGATTTTTATACATTTTCTTAAATTTCAACTTAGTAAAAACAAAAAAATACCAAAAAAATTCCATCTTGTCAATTTTTTTTGTTACACTCAAGTTTTTGTTTGTATTTAGCATAAAATTCCTAGTTAACTTAAAATTTAGTTTTTTTTATGGCCTTAAAATGAAGACTTCTCACATTAATTCTATCAATTATAGCTGGACTTGGTAATAAATAAAAATGTTAATGGTTGAAGAGAGTAGTGGTAGAGGGATGTGGGTTAAGTAGTTTTAGCATTAGGAGGAAGGGCTCATGATCGTATAGAAACAGGTTAAAAATTGATAGTGAGTAATATTACTGGTGAGATTAAGCATGTTTTGACATGTTATCTGGGATACTAGGAATAAATATAAACAACCTGTTGTTGTATTAGATCATGTTTCAACAAGCTAAATAAGTTCAGTATCTCACTGGCCATCTAATGCCACACTCAGTTAATATCCAGCATTCGAACACTACTGTGCTTGTGTTTTTATTTCTGGAATATGGCTTGCAGAGGTTGTGTAATTTCTCCCGACAGCTTCTGTTATGTTTGTGGTGAATACTCAGTGAAAAGTCAACAAAGAAACATAAATGATTTTGTGAAGAAAGTTTAATTTTCGTATTTCAAATTGAAACTTGAAGATCGAGACAAAGCAGATTTCTGGAAACAATAGGAGAAAAGGAAAAAGAAGCATGGGACTCTTTCAAGAATGTAGTGCATAAGTTTTTGGGGAATACTAAGGACCCTGACTACGAAGGAAATTGGAAATGAGTTTGGAGAAGCATCAAAAAGAAGAAAAGGTTTCATAAGAAAAAAGAGTGGACCTAAAATTGTGTGTAAATATCAGAAACAATTTGTTGATTAGTTGTAAGAAAATATAATATATTTAGTTCGTTGTAATAAATAAAGAGTTTTTATAAAACTCTTTATAAAGAGTTTTTTATTTTGCAAAAAAATCTTTACATGATGGATGTAACGGAAGTCATTTTTTAGAATATGTGATCTTTAAAACACATAATTGAGCAAAAATATTCCATGCAGATGGAAAAATTTTTTTTTGCAGACCTGTGTAATCAATGGAAAAAATTAAGAAGTTTGTTTCAAATATACCTACAATAATTCCTTTTAATTAAACTTTGTGTGTGGTGTATGGTGAAGTCATGCCACTTATATATATATCTTATATAATATATTCACAAACCCAATTTATAGTTAAAGCCAACTGACATAATTAATTACATTGCCAAATTATAGTCTGATAATTTGGTAGTTGTTTGGCATTATATATATGATATATCATATGTATTAAATTCCTTTTACATTGCAGTGTTAATTGTATTTGTTTTTGATATGTACAGTAAGACCCTGTTTAACACGGTCCGCTTGAAGACTAAAAAACACTCATAATTTACACTGATTTAAATTATCATGGCATTTCATTGATTCGTATATAATACGATTATTTGCAAACNCTATGCAATAAAGTATAAATTAGTTAAATATGGTTATTTTTTGGTTTGTTGTAAACATTTTCAGATGATTTAATTTGTATAAATTAATTTAGCTCAGTTCTTAAACACCTATTCTAATATTTGTTAAAATGATACGTTAATAGTAACTGTCTCTGGTTCAAATTTCATAAAATTTATAACTTTATAACACCTTGCAAAAAAATTAAATGCTGTTCAGTTGTGTATTTTATCTCAATGTTTAAATTTTCATAATAAATAACATAAATTCAAACATCAGATTGCTACAAACTTCAGAAAAGAACGAAAACTTTAAATACAAGCAATTTTATAAATGCATATTTATTTAAAATAATAAACTTATTTATTAATATATATTATTTAAAATTCAACGTGTGCATCTACTTTCAATTCATGGAAGTGTTCTACAATATATCATATATATATATATATATGACCATGTTGATTTAATAAAAATTAATTTGTTAAGATGTCTGCATTTTTTATTTACTTTTGGAAAGAATCAGACAGATAATGTACATTTTTGTTAAATAAACTTTCTACAGCTAGGGAGATATTCACTTAATAAAATTTATTACTCTTATGTTTTCTGAATTCAAGTCAATTTAATTAATAACAAATATTTTATTTGGTATTTACATATCAGCAGAAAAATAAGTAACAAGCTGACTAAAATATTTTAAAAATTTAACATATATAAACTTGTATTGGTCAAACTTTCAATTTTTGAAAACTCAAAAAGCTTGAGTTTTGTTCAAATGATTTAACATTGTTTTGAAACCTTTAACCTGACATGACAGCTCCAAGTTATTACAATATAAGTTTTTTTGGAAAATTTATAACCACATCCTGCTATTCAACTGTAAAAAAGTGACCAGCTGAACTGCTTTTTTTTTCAACTCTTATAACCTTAAAACAATCTATAATAATTTGACTAGTATGACATGGCTGCCTTGTTGTAATTAGAAAAACAATGCAAATATCTCCTGTTCTAATATATACTTACTAATAGACAGTTCTGTGAAGCTGAAAAGCAATTGTTATACTTTAAAATATTAAAAAAATTTAGTCTGACACACAAAATGTCACTTGAGTTTTATGATATTAATGCAGAAGTGTCATTTACATAAGCTGAAGTTCTTAAAAGTACAATAAATTAAATATGATTGTTTAAAAATTTATTATATTTTTTTTGCAAAATATCAAAGATTTAATCTAATTTTTATATAATTAGATGGATAATCATTTTTGATTTTAATTCTGAAAAATCATTGCCTTGTTGATTACATTTATTAAATTTTTTATTGAGCATATGTAGAAAAGAATTTTTTTTTATATTTTTCTAACAGAACATTTATTAAATGAAATTTGAATGTCAACAGAACAATAATTTTGATTTTATAATTAGTAGCAATTATGAGCTTATTAATCATTGATCATAACAGTGAAAAACTCCAATAATTCTTAGTTTCACATGTATTTGAAATCTCTTGAATATCTGTAATGCTGGATTAATAATTTTATTAGCTTTTTAATATTTATTTATTTTATAATTTTAGCATTACTGGAAGCAAGAGGTCTTCCGCCACATTTGTTTGGAGCTTTGGGTCCAAGAGTGCAACATCTGTTACATAGATCTATTGGAAATAGTGCAAGTAAGTTAATGTATTTCATAGCCTTTTAAAAAATTGATTTAGTTAATTTATACACTTCAAAATGCATAATGAAAATTCTATTTACAAATAATAGGAATGCATTGATTATAAGTTTATAAAATCTCTTCAATAATTGACTTATTTTTTTTATAATATGATGCAATAAATAATGCTAGTGCATTTTCGATGCTGAAGGATATTTACTATTTTAAAAAATACAGTTGATAAACTTCATGCTGTTGACAAAATCAGAGTATATCAGTTTTCTATATCACTAGGATAAAATATTATAAACAATGCTATTGATCCTTTAATAATAAGTTATAAACTGTGTTTAAATTTGTAAATGCAAAATTTGGAAAAATAAGTATTGTTGAATTTGTCTATTTCTCACTATTTCACTTTTGTCATTGTTCTTGTTTTCATATTAGATCTCATATTTACATAAATAAATTTTTATTTGTATATTAAAATAGTATAACTAATGATGATTTAATGATATGTTTTGCCTCTAATAAATTTTTTTATAATGGTGTTTTATGCATAATTTTTTGTGTGCCCAAGAATTTCAATGTATGTCTGTAAATCAACTTTTTATAGTTTTTTCTATAAATATATATTTTAAAAAATCTTATCTGATTTTTATAAAAGTTTAAATTACAAATTTCTGTTAAAACTTGGAAACAAGCCAACTATCTTGTAAAGATCAAATTGTTACTGAATTTCATTAATAATCACAGATAATTATTCATTATTTATCTCATGTCAAAGGATGTTTTCATTTTAAAATTGATTTAAATGAATTTAAAAATTAAAAATTGTTTTAAGAATTATTAATTTTTTTCCCCTCCTTCAGTTATCAAGTATCTTTGAAGGCAGTCAAATCATATTAAATTAGTTACAGTAAAATCTAGAGTAACTCTTTAAACATGATTAGCCAAAATCACATTAATCTATTTGAGACAAAATTAGTCAAAGGAAAAGTTATTTGACTGGTTTTGATATGCAAATTACCCTTGTACTCTGAGGGGTACAACAGTTGTCTTCCAGGTACATAGAAAGAAATTTTCAGAGCTTAGAGTTAATATTAACATCTGATAAAATTTAATTTTTTCTGT